AGGAAGAAATGAAGAACCCCAGGGTTAGTAGAAGGAAAGAAATCTTAAAAATTAGGGCAGAAATAAATGCAAAAGAAACTAAAGAGACCATAGCAAAAATCAACAAAGCTAAAAGCTGGTTTTTTGCCTAGGAAATCTTATGGACAGAGAAGTATGCGGGCTACAATCCATGGGGTAGCGAAAGAGTCAGACACTACTTAGCAGCTGAACAACAACAATCCAGGGCGGGTAGGGCTTCACTTCTTGGGGTTGGAAGAAAGAGTTGGACACGACTTAGCGACTTAACAAGACTAACGAAAGCCTTCATGGATGATACATGTAAAGAGATTTAGAGGTATTGCTAGTAGCCTTGATTATCTGAATACAGACACGACTGAGAAGATATGTCTCCAATTCAGTAGATTGATAGATTGGTAATATAAATGATTACAATTATTAATTTTATAAATTAACTGTCTCATTAATGATTGTTAATATTAATTATTCTCAATAATTATTAATTTTATCATTGCTGCCTGTGTCCAATTTTGTTTTTGTTTTTTAGGAATGCACCATTTCATTAAAAATCATATACCTTGGAAAACTGCAGAAAAGGAGACAAGGTATGGGTCTCTTCTCTACAATGTCTGTGAGTATTGGAGCACGGGGATATTATTTAGACTTTCCTAAGCAGATCCCCTACTAGGATTCTCTTAAGCAAGCGAGGCGAAATGATTATAAAAAATGTTAGGAATAGTGTATTAGATTCTCACTGATGGTATTATCATCAGGTAATAATGGTCAGGTCCTGTCCAAACTCTTTTTGCTGTGTATCCTCCCTTGGTTTCTCCTCAGTAGTGGGTCCCAATCCAGTTAACCAATCACTCCTTTTGCTGACAGCTAAGAAATTCAAACAGTACAGTACATATTTAAGAAAAACTAATGCTAGAGCTGTGTAAAACAAAAAATAATCCATAAGAACATAAAAGAAAAGGTCTGAATTTCACACAAGCACAATTCCTTGAACTCACCAAATTGGTCTACAAAATTCTCTGATAACTAGTTTATAAAAGTGTATAGTTTACTATATCACAGCTATCATTATACACTAAGTAACATCCAGTTGTTTTAACACCCAGAGACTGTTTATTTAACTCCAATACAAAGACTGAAAATCTTTAACTCCTCAGTTGGACTCTAGCTTGATTATCTTATTTTTAGTTATTTGTTATATCAAGTAGTAAATTTAAATTATATGTTAAGATAATGCTAGCTGTTGTAAGGAACACAATTTAATATGGCTCAAACATGATAGAAGTTAAGGTTTCACACATATAAAAACTAAGATGTTATGTTCCTGAAACCCTCCAAAAAATAATTGAGGGGCCCAGACTCTTTCTTCTTGGAGCTCTCTCTCTTTTGACACTCATCTAGGAGAAGGAGAAAAGAATTATAAATTCCTGCATGTGAAAAGCTTTTATACTCAGACCTGGAAATAGCACAGATTCATAGTTCACTAGCCAGATTTCAGTCATATGATCATATCTAACTGCACACAAGCTGGGAAGTATAGTTCATTTGTGTTCCCAGAAAGAAGGGGAAATGCATTTGATGAATAGTCTACCAGTATGGCTCAGAGGTTAAAGCATCTGCCTGCAGTGCAGGAGACCTGGGTTCGATCCCTGGGTCAGGAAGATTCCCTAGAGAAGGAAATGGCAACTCACTCCAGTATTCTTGCCTGGAGAATCCCATGGACAGAGGAGCCTGGAATTGTTATGTTCCTGAAACCCTCCAAAAAATAATTGAGGGGCCCAGACTCTTTCTTCTTGAAGCTCTCTCTCTTTTGACACTCATCTAGGAGAAGGAGAAAAGAATTATAAATTCCTGCATGTGAAAAGCTTTTATACTCAGACCTGGAAATAGCACAGATTCATAGTTCTCTAGCCAGATTTCAGTCATATGATCATATCTAACTGCACACAAGCTGGGAAGTATACTTCATTTGTATTCCCAGAAAGAAGGGGAAATTGGTTTGATGAATAGCCTACCAGTATGGCTCAGAGGTTAAAGTGTCTGCCTGCAGTGCAGGAGACCTGGGTTCAATCCCTGGGTCAGGAAGATCCCCTGGAGAAGGAAATAGCAACCCACTCCAGTATTCTTGCCTGGAGAATCCCATGGACGGAGGAGCCTGGTAGGTCCACGAGGTTGCAAAGAGTCAGACACAACTGAGCAACTTCACTCACTCACTCATTCACTTCATATATCACATGGTAATTCTATTCAATCAGTTATTCACCCTACAGTCAGAATGAGCATGCTAAAAGTGCAAATCTGCACATGCAACTCTCTGAACTTAAAATCTTTGATGTCATTCCATTGTCTTCCACATAAAGTCTAAACTCAGTAACAGTATTGAGGAAGCCCACTAAGGTCAGGAATCTTCTAAGTTCTTTAACCTTATTTCCTTTGCATACCAAATTCCAGTTTTACAAGATTAATAAATAAATAAATATATAAATTTGCAGTCTATATCCTCAAATCTAGCCTCTTGCAGATACTATTAGTTCTATTTGCAGTGCCCTTTACCCTCTACCTCACCTTACTAACTCCTATTTGTTCTTCATCTGTTAGTTCAGAATCATAATATAGCAAACATGTATAGATTACATTCCTTTCCTATGTGCTTCCATACGGTTTGTATTTACATTGTTTCATGCAACTTCCTGTGTAATGAAACAGAAATATTAATAGTTACTTTTGAGTGTACCCCAGATCTCTTTTCTTCTTGTACACTAAAGAAGATTTCTACCCACTAAAATGTAAACATTGGCATTTTAGGAATCATTGAACTAAAATGGACTGGAATGGGTGAATTTAATTCACATGACGATTATGTCTACTACTGTGGGCAAGAATCCCTTAGAAGGAATGGAGTAGTCCTCAAGTCAACAAAAGAGTCCAAAATGTCTTGGGTGCAGTCTCAAAAATGACAGAATGATCTCTGTTCGTTTCCAAGTCAAACCATCAGCATCACAGTAATCCAAATCTATGCCCCAACCACTAATGCTGAAGAAGCTGATTGGTTCTATGAAGCCCTACAAGACCTTTTAGAACTAACACCAAAAAAGAAAAAAAAAAAAAAAGATGTACTTTTCATCATAGGAGACAGGAATGCAAAAGTAGGAAGTCAGAAGGTACCTGGAGTAACAGGCAAGTTCAGCCTTGGAGTACAAATGAAGCAGGGCAGAGGCTAACAGAGTTTTGCCAAGAGACATACTGGTCACAGCAAACGCCTCTTCAACAACACAGAGAGAACTCTACACGTGGATGCCACCAGAGGGTCAATACTGAAATCAGATTGATTACATTCCTTGCAGTTGAAGATGGAAAAGCTCTATACAGTCAACAACCACAAGACCGGGAGCTGCCCTAGGATCAGGTCATGAACTCCTTATTGCAAAATTCATACTTAAATTGAAGAAAGAAGGGAAAACCACTATGCTATTCAGGTATGACCTAAATCAAATCCCTTATGATTATACAGTGGAAGTGACAACTAGATTCAAGGAACTGAATCTGATAGACAAAGTGCCTGAGAACTATGGACAGAGATTGGTAACATTGTAAAAGAGGCAGTGATCAAAACCATCCTCAGAATATGAAATGCAAAATGGCAAAATGGCAAAATGGTTGTCTGAGGAAGTCTTACAAATAGCTGAGAAAAGAAGAGACGCAAAAGTCAAAGGAGAAAAGGGAAAGATATATCCATATGAATGAAGAGTTCCAAAGAATAGTAAGGAGATAAGAAAACCTTCCTAAGTGACCAATGCAAAGAAATAGAGGAAAACAATAGAATGGGAAAGACTAGAAATTTCTTCAAGAAAATTAGAGATACCAAGGGGACATTTCATGCAAAGATGGGCTCAATAAAGGACAGAAATGGTACGGACCTAACAGAAGCAGAAGATACTAAGAAGAGGTGACAAGAATAGACAGAAGCACTATACAGGAAAGAACTTAATGAAATAACCACAATGTATGATCACTCACCTAGAGCAAAACATCTTGGAGAACGAATTCAAGTGGGCATTAGAAAGCATCACTACGAACAAAGCTAGTGGAGGTGATGGAATTCCAGCTGAGCTATTTCAAATCCTAAAAATGATGCCGTGAAAGTGCTGCACTCAATATCCCAGCAAATTTGGAAAACTCAGCAGTGGCCACAAGACTGGAAAAGGTCAGTTTTCATTTAAATCCCAAGAAGAGCAATGCCAAAGAATGTTGAAACTAGCACACAATTGCACTCATTTCACATGCTAGCAAAGTAATGCTTAAAATTCTCCAAGTTAGGCTTCAAAGGTACATGAACTGAGAACTTCCAGATATTTAGGCTCGATTTGGAAACTTCAGAGGAACCAGAGGTCAAATTGCCAACATCCATTGGATCATAAAAAAGGCAAGAAAATTCCAGAAAAACATCTATTCCTGCTTTGCTGACTACGCTAAAGCCTTTGACTGTGTGGATCACAACAAACCGTGGAAAACTTAAAGAGATGGGAATACCAGACCACCTTACCTGCTTCCTGAGAAACCTGTATGCAGGTCAAGAAACAAAAGTTAGAAGCGGACATGGAACAACAGACCGGTTCCAAATTGGGAAAGGAGTACATCAAGACTGTATACTGTCACCCTGCTTATTTAATTTATATGCAGAGTATATCATACAAAATACCAGGCTGGATGAAACACAAGCTGGAATTAAGCTGGGAGAAATATCAGTAACCTCAGATATGCAGATAACACCACTTTTATGGCAGAAAGCAAAGAAGAACTAAAAAGCCTCTTGATGAAGGTAAAAGAGAAAAGTGAAAAAGTTGGCTTAAAACTCAACATTAAAAAAAAATGAAGATTATAGTATCTGTTCCCATCACTTCATGGCAAACAGATGGGGAAACAATGGAAACAGTGACAGACCTTATTTTCTTAGGTTCCAAAATCATTGTAGATGGTGACTACAGCCATGAAATTAGATACTTGCTACTTGGAAGAAAAGCTTTTGAACTGTGGTGTTGGACAAAGCTTTGAGAATACCTTGGATTGCAAGGAGATCAAACCAGTCAATTCCAAAGCAAAACAATCCTAAATATTCATTGAGAGGACTGACACTGAAGCTCAAATATTTTGACCACCTGATCAATATTTTGATCAGAAGAGCTGGCTCATTAGAAAAGACCCAGATGCTGGAAAAGATTGAAGGTAGGAGGAGAAGGGGATGACAGAGGTTGGATGGCATCACTGACTCAATGAACCTGAGTTTGAGCATGCTCCAGGACATGGTGAAGAATAGGGAAGCCTGGCATTCTGTAGTCCATGGGATCACACAGAGTCAGACATGACTGAGTGACTTAACAAGAACAAAAGAACATTCTGGGTTTATGTCTTCACTTACTTTCCCTTTCTCTTCTTTGAGATAGAATTTCACCAATCAAGAAGGTATCTAAATTTTGAGAGTAAAATCAAAAATTGGAAAAAACAACAATTAGGCATATTCTCTCAAGAATAATTGAGAGAAGAAAGATATTTTCATTACCCAGTTACTAGTAGATGATTGATAAAAGAGGTACCATGTAATGATAGCAAATTTGGAAAAGTAGGGAAGATGTGGTGGAGAGATGGCAATTGTGAACCAAAGGCATATGGCATGAGAAACCGTAAAGTGATTTGGTGTTAGAAGAGATTGTTGCTGCCTTTGTTCTTGCTGCCTTTGACATTCCTTCAGGAGTGGGAAGGGAAGTAAATATCAGAATTAATATTAATATGCTCCTTGAACAGGAAACCACTCTGCAACTGATCTACATAGGTCATGATTTCACTTTTAAATGAATAACTTTTTAGCATTGTTTGTTATTTTTTGGCTGTGCTAGGTCTTTGTTTCTATACCCAGGCCTTCTCTAGTTCCGGCGAGCAGCGGCTACTCTCCAGTTGTGGTGCATGAGCTTCTTATTGCAATGGCTTCTCTGGTTGCGGATCACGGGTTCTAAGGCACATGGACTTCAGTAGTTGAGGCTCCCGGGCTTTAGAGTTCAGGTTCAGTAGTTGTGGTGCACAGGCTTACTCTGCAGCATGTGGACTCTTCCTGAAGTTTTGTGTGTGTGTGTGTGTGTGTGTGTGTGTGCGTGCACGTGCTACATTGCTGCTGTCACATCCAACTCTTGGACTAGGGACAAAACCAGTGTCCCGTGCACTGCAAAGCAGACTCTTACCCACGGATTACCAGGGAATGGATTTGTAAACTTTTTTCCTGTAGACCCCAGTGTAGTTGAATTCCAGTGCATTGCCCATTGTAAACTCATAAAAATTCACTGAGATTCAAAAAAAAAGACTTTCAAGGAGAGCTAATATCATAGATTAAAAAGTGCAAATATAAATGCAGTAGCGTTAAAGCTACATGTGCAAGGAAAAACATATACATGGATTATGTGGGAAGCATTTATTCCCTCTCATTTTTATAGAGAAGAGGGGTATTGCACCCTCTCTCAAGAAGGGATTATTGGAAGAATAGTATAGTATTATATTGTAATACTATTGGAAGAATAGAATAGCATTGGAAGGATAACTCTAGTCTAGCCTTCTCTTCTCACAGCTTGCTCTTTGCCACAGAAAGATTGATTCATAATTGTTGAATCTAAGATAAGGTCCAGCTTGCTCACCTCAACCATGTTTCAATACTGACTGAGAAATGTCTCTGCAAGTGATAGTTTTCTTTCTTCCCGTATTTTTCATGCAGTAAGTACTAGCAAAGTTTCAGAAAGAAATTATAAAATACTCTTCTGCCTATCCTGGGGGCATTAAGAAGAAATAATAGAAAACTTATTTTTTCTTTGGATTCAAGCAATATTCTCTGACCTAGCTTTAAAGGTAATATAGCTAATTTGAGTATATTTTTTCCTTTTGATTAGAAATAGGTGCAATTTATGACCAATTATTATCCTCAAACTCCCCCCACCACAATATTGTATGTACAAAGCCAAAGTTTTAAATTATTAAATTGTAATTGGAGAGGGACTTTCTACTTTGATTTGATTCTAAAGTTTTCCACATTTCTGAGTGATACGGAGTCAATTTTATAATACATCTCTAATTGCTTAACACCTTTCATTAAGAAACTCAAAATTTGTGTGAAAAAAATGTCTGCTTAATGGTGGGCCAAAACACTGAATATGGCCTACTAGACTGAGGGAACAAAGTGGCTGAATGGTAATTCTCCTTCTTTCGGGTAAAGCTCCTCTTGCTCATATCAGTAGAATCTCTAGTAACAATTTTTATTTGCAGTGTTTTGTTATAATAGACTATACTGTGTTAATTCTAATCCCTAGCAATTATGTACATATGATAATGAAGAATAAGTTTTAAAAAAGTAATTAGTATGACACATTCTGCTTATGAAAAGAGATAGTGGTTTATCTCTTTGCCTTGGAGATAACCACGCTTCCAAATCTAAAGAAGTTAAAGCATTAAAGATAGGTCTTTCATCTCATGTATCACATAGAATGAGAAATTTGTCCAGCAATTCTTCACTTCTTTCCCATTTCTGATTTTTCTATCTAAGAATTGGAACAGTGTGAATTGAAATAAAATTGAAAAAGGTACAAGTGCCTTTTCTTCCTATATTGAGGTTCACTTTTTTATACATAATATAATCTATGTGATTTGCCCTAAACCCAAAGAAAGTATTAAAAAACTCAAGATTTATTGAGTTAAGGTACTTAATAGTTATGATGATTAGCTAACAAAGAAATGAGAGATCTAAGAAAAATTATTAATATTAACTTTTCTGAAAAGTATTATAAGAAAATTACTACTTTGGCATTAATGACTTTATCAGAGCCTAATCTGAGACTGTAAGGATGAAATTATTTGATACTATTAGCTAATAAAAACAGAATTTCATATATTCTGATTTTTCTCAATAACCTCTCCAACATGAGGTATTTTTAAATATTCCAAAACTATTTATATCCCTACTACCCTCTAATATGTTTGGATATGTCATATACTTGCATAATATAATCTAAGAAAATACTAATTTTCTATTTACATATATGTCTGGTAAAAGTGCCTCAATCTAGTTGTTTCTGATCATAATAAAATTTATGAAAGCATATACTGGAATAACTAATTTTTTTAATCAGCTATAGTCTAAGGTATTGAATATGTTAAATAAATTATCTGTATATATATTATTATGGTATGCCACATTACCAAAAACTTACCTAAAAGGGTCATGATATATTGATATTTAAAAGTATTTGAAGTATATGTTGTAGAGAATTTAATAATATATGCCATCCTCCCCAAATGCAATTCACTTTTAAAAAGGAGAACTACAAGTTTTTATATCAATATCAGAGGGAAAATAGCACAGCACCTGTCGTATTAGAATAGTGAAATATTCAATAAAATCCAAAAGGTAATTTTAAAAGAAAGATAAAATGAAAGTACCCTCTATTATTTATGTGTGATTTCACAGATAATGTAGAATGACGCTGTTAAATATCAATACAAAGTTGAACACCACACAACTATAGTCTATTGACATGTACAGAACTTTACAAGTAAAAATAATGCTTCAGAAAAGGATTTCACACATCCTAGACATCAAACACTTGCACAGGGTCAAAGGTAGATTATAGTACACTGTGACACATCAGTTAGCACTCTGTTAAAAATGAGCAGTTAAAAGGCAGTTGTGATTTAAAAAATTAATTTACTCATCAAGTCTTACAGTGATTGAGAGGTAGCAGAAGAAACACTGGTCTTAGATGTGGAGTGAATATGTGTGAGTATGTATGTATGTATGTTTACACATATGTGTGCACACGTTGTATATAGATATGTTGTGTACTGTGCTAAGCCACTTCAGTCATGTCTGACTCTGCGACCCTATGGACTATAACCCGCCAGATTCTTCTGTCCACAGGATTCTCCAAGCAAGAATTTTGGAGTGGATTGCCATGTTCTCCTCCAGGAATGGAACCCATGCCTCTTATGTCTCCTGCATTGACAGGCGGGTTCTTTACCACTAGGGCCACCTGGGAAGCCAAGTATACAGCTACAGGACACTTTTCCTCCATTCCTGTCATTTGGCATGTGCATAGTTTTTAATGCATGGAAAGTCAGTAGATAATAACATACTAAGTCTCAGAGAAGTTAAGAAGTTTAATTAAGACTGCCCAGTACACATTTAGTAAATTGCAGACCCAGTAGTTGAACTAATTTTAATCTGACTCAAATGTCTTTGACTTTTTCTACTATGCCGCTCAAAACACTAATGACAATTCTGTCATTGGTTGACTCTCAAACACTTGCTAACATGTAGATCCCACATTTTGGGATGGTCCCAAATGGCCATAAAGTAAGCAACTGGGATTTAGGAGGAGATATGGGCAAAAGAGGTTGAATAACTATTAGTTAACTCTTTTCTTCTACTGCCAAATACTCCTATCATAAGGAATTGTGCCATAGAAGGCTGCCAAAATTTCCCCCATCTTATCTTCCTCATACATCTCTGAGATGTTTGTTACATCATACTTTGCCTTTTCAAGATGCTCATTCAAATTCATGTTAAGCAGATATCAATATTGAGATTTTGGCGGGGGGGCACTGGCAAAAGACATTTTAATTCATTCAACAGATAAGAATCTAGTATGTGCAAAGCACTGCAATGTAAGAGAGAAGCATAGTCCAGAATTTAAAGTGTGTGGGATGTTAGATATTAAACAAGAACTGAAAAATAAGCTGCAATACTATCTTATTATGGGCTTCCCTCATAGCTCAGTTAGTAAAGAATCTGCCTGCAATGCAGGAGACCCCGGTTCCATTTCTGGGTAGGAAGCCCAAGAATAGCTAAAAAATCCATCTGCAATGTGGGAGACCTGGGTTAAATCCCTGGGATGGAAAGATCCCCTGGAGAAGGGAAAGGCTACCCACTCCAGTGTTCTGGTCTGGAGAATTCCATGGACTGTATAGTCCTTAGTATTGCAAAGAGTTGGACACAACTGAGTGACCTTCACTTTCATCATGTTATGGACAAGTCAATTACTTCATTTCTTGGCCATCAACCCACACATCTAGGGCTACCAACCCACACATTCTGGTCAAAAACATTTTCAGAAATCAACTTTTTTTTTTTTTCCTGAAATTGGGCCACACCTGGTGCCAATTGCCACAGATTGTGCTTCACTGAGTTCTGAGCCATCTCTGGAAGATAAAGAAGCAGTACTGGGCGAAGAGAAAAGTTGCCATGGGATATAGTCTCAGCAGAAAATCTCAACTAACTTCTCTGATGCTGGATAGACTTCCACAGTTATCCCCATATAGGGTGAGGGTACTAGGCCCTCATACATGTGATTTCATGTGAGCTACGCTGGGTGGAGGGAAAGGTCCTGGGAATCCTGACTCGTTTCAGATGAACCGGTTCTTAAAAGGCCTGACAGCTGAGGGTTGTTTGCCGTTAGGCTTCCTGGGAACTAAATAAATATGTCTAATGAGGTATTTGGCAGAGCCTCAGTATCTCCTTGACGAGGTGTCTCACAGAGCATCAGAGTGTTCTTTCTAACTGCTAAGCCAAGAGGGACAGGATGGCTGGCTGTTTGGGTGTGGAATATCAGCAGGAGGATCTGTGCTGAAGGTCACTGTAAGTGAATTTTCTGTGTACATGTGATCAGTAAAGCCATGACCTGGTTAGCTGTCTTCCCAAAGGGAGAAGGGAGATACTCTGAGAAAGAAAGGGTCTCAGACCAGGATTTGGAATCGCAACAAATCAAGGAGGGCATTCTGCAAAGGAGAGCAAGAGGAAAATCCCAAGAGAGAAGTTTAAAATTATTCTACTTGAATTCAGATTTTTCTTTTGAATATTAGCTCTCTATTTCCTTGTTACTATATTTGTTCTTGAATCATGTGGGTGGGCACTTAATAATTTGGAGTTCAGAGAACTTCAGGAACAGAAAAATTAAATAAGAAATGCTATATTTACCTCAGGTGAAAATGAAGTTTCATTTTAAAGAACATGAATAAGTTTAAAGGTGAAATGATCGTTAAATAGAGGATAAGTCTAGTGCCTTTCAGTGGCTGAGTCTGGGAGATCTTAATCTGAATAGGTAAGAAAGGTAACAACCAAAAAAGAATTAATATTAGTATCAAATGGATTGTATTGTTGCTTGAAATATACATTCTTAAAATTATGTATGACTACAACCCTGACAAACTCATTTTGAGTCTTTTCCCAGTATATTTAGAACAAATGGATTCAGGTGTTAGGGAGTTCAGAAAGAACTAGAATCACTGTTGGTGCTCCTTCAAATTATATTTTAAACCTAATGTCGCTAGTTTTAGAATTAAGGGAGGGATATTTTACCAGGAGGACAGGATAGGTTTGATGGGCAGTGTAGAGGGTTTTGGCATTATTTGCACTCTATGTGCAACCTAATGTAGCTTATTTCACAACCTAATGTAGCTACTTTTAGAATTAAGGGAGGGATATGTTTACCAGGAGGACAGGATAGGTTTAATGGGCAGTGTAGAGGGTTTTTGGCATTATTTGCACTCTATGTATCACATCATATATATAATATCTTATAGAAAGAATTTTTAATTTTTAATTGTGATATATATTTATATATTTTATATATAAATCAGATTTTTAACTTTTCATTTTGAGATAATTATAGTTTAGCTTGCAGTTGTATAAAATAGATCAGCTATACTTGTTATCCAATATTTCTCAATTGTAAGATATTACACAGCTGTAGTAAATATCACAATTAGGAAATTGACAGCAATACAACCCACTCACCTGATTCAGATTTCACCAGTACTACTTGTGTGTGTGAGAGTGCTTGTGCATGCATGCATGCATTTAGTTCTGTACAATTTTGCAATGTTTTTAACATGTCACTATGTTTTTACAAGTATATGTAAATGGAATTTGTATTCCAACCTTTGAAATTTGATTGAAATGCTTTTTTTTTTTTTTTTGAAGAAAAAACAAACTCCATGTAAATTTGATGTAATTCCCTGGTAGCTCAGTTGGTAAGGATCTACCTGCATGCAGGAGACCGCGGTTCCGTTCCTGGGTTGGGAAGAAGCACTGGAGAAGGGGTAGGCTACCCACTCCAGTATTCTTTTGGGCATCCCTTGTGGCTCAGCTGGTGAAGAATCTGCCTGCAATGTGGGAGATCTGGGTTTGACCCCTGGGTTTCTAAGATCCCCTGGAGAAGGGAAATGTTACCCACACCAGTATTCTGGCCTGGAGAATTCCATGGACTGTATAGGGGTTGCAAGAGTTGGACACTGATAAATGACTTTTACTTTCATTTATGATTACAAAAAGTAATTTATAGAGGACATACCCAGGATAAAGGGGGCTTTTTAGTTTATGATACATAGAGAGATTATTCCAGGATGATTGGCTTCAGCTTTTTATGATGCATCTATGCAAAATATGTGTTATTTTAAAGAAAGAAGGTAGTTACACCTAATGCCTATATTTTAGTATCATTCTAACTTTTCTGTTAGTAATTGCTGGTAGGTAAAAATGCTCTGATATTTTAGTTTTCTAAATCTTATATCACTGTTCAGATGAGGAACATGTGTAAATCCATTCTAGATGGTTCAAAGAGGAATCTGATTTGTTTAGTTTTCTCAGGACACAGTTTTCACTACAAATTTTGAAGGACAGAAATAAACATACCCATGTTTATGTTTGTGTATGTGTTTGTATAGACACCACATATGTGCATTCATATGCACATGCACATAGACACACAAACTTCAGTAAGCTGTTTCTTCAATTTCATGTGAGAGTCAATGTATATGTGTCAGTATAATGCATAATTTTCTGCTGAGTATGCAAAATATACATGAGGCCATAGATCTCAAGAGCAAATGTTCTAATGTGACGATAATAGGACACATGCTGAAGCTCATTATTTAGATTCTAATGAACTACCTTAAAGGTATCAAAATATTCCATAGTATTCACATAGTATATTTTCCTTTCTTTTTTCATATATGACTAGTATTTTTTCCTGTACTTAATTCCTTGGACAAATAAGGTTCTTAGACAAAAATGAGGCTATATTTAAAGTCAGCATAAAAAATTTGATTATCAAATTTGATTGTACTTAGAGACTTATATCAAAACATTTCACCATCTAACTGTTTTCTAAACCATAAGTAAAAATCAAATACACTTTTGTGCATATCTTGCTTGCCTTCTAAACTCATAAAGCAAGAAATAGAAAATAATAATACTGTTTCTAGTGAGTGTTTTCAGAAGTTAAAAATTAGATGTACTATAGTATTTCCATAGATTATAACATTAATGTTAAGTTCTTAATTCATGAGTAGGTTAAATTTTTAAAAATAAAATCCTTAACTGCTACTGATCTAAAATTCTCTTTAGTTGATACATTTGGAAAATATTTATAGTATTTTGTGTCCAATATTTCAAATATAATTTTGACATAGTAACAGTTTCTTGTATCTTTGAGAAGAGAAGGAAAACAAAAACATTCAAGATGTTATTATTTTAACTTTCTTTTCAGACTGGTATAGATCAATGTCATCGTGAGAAATCAAAACCACTGCATGTGTTGAGAATTTTCATACAGTATCTGGACATCACCATAAAGAGATTGTGCAGAACTTTTGTTCCCATTTTTATAATGTTGCATATTGCTGAAAATATCTAATAGGCTATTATTTAATGTAGTTTGTAAAATTCTTTAATAAATGGATGATTAGATTTATACACATTTGGAGAGAATTTTGGTTACCATTCATGTCTTCAAAATCTTCATATATTTAGGCTCTTTTATATGTCAGTGAATTAAAATATTATGCAGAACTACAGCCTCATAAGAACTAAATATATGGACTGTGTTTTTCTGCATTATTGACATTATACTTATTTGTTGTTAGCAATTATGTGTTGCTTATAAAGGAGATTGTATAAGATATAAATATAGATTTAATTTAAAATTGATGTGGAAAACCATATGATTCAAAAGGAAAAGCAATCTTGACATTACTGAGTTATAAAAAGATGATAAATACAATTCTTAAAAACATGGAAATATAATACAGACCTGAAGAATGACCTTATTTACTATTAAATTATTTGCATAATGCTGATAAAACATTTGCTAAGTTTTAACTCACATACGGAGTTAAAATGCTCTCTTTAAAAAACAATTTAATAGGTCTGCATCTCTTGTCCTACTGATTTTTGCAAGAGAGTAAATGCATTTGCTACTGCTGGGAAGAAGCTAAAAGTGGATCTGAAAATGCTATGAAATTCACTGTTCATTTGGATAAAGTTTGAATTTTAATTTCAATAACCTCAACTGAGAAAAAGGAATACTATTAAATCATGATATTATTTGGTTTTTGTTTAATTTGTGTATTCACCTACTCTTGCTGATTAACTGAGTAGTTAAGAGCTGTCAGGAAAAAAAAATGTAAAACTGAGCACAAATTAAATTTGTTTAACTACTTGAATTCTGAGTTCATATCATTGTGTTTTATTTTGACAGATATAGAAATGCTTCAATAAATAGTAGAGCATTGATTATAATTTAATTCTTATGAGACCTGTATGAATATATAATACTGGAAGCTATGTTTTCCTTTTCACTATTAATGGTACCAGCCAATTCTCTTTCACTGTTTTTGTTTGTTTGAGGGAGGTTGAAGAAGGAAGGTTATGAGTACTCAAATAACTTAATGAAAATTAAATTTAATAGAATATATAATGGAAATATATTTGCTAGAGGAAGCAAGAAAGGTTGCTTTCTTTCAAGCCTGAGACATTGGGCTTCTTAAGGGCTGAAAACTTACATACCTTATGTAGTTACATGGTAATTTATATCAATCATGGTACATAACATAAAGTTGATGTTTAATTAATATTTATATAGTTGAATTTTAAGTGTTCAGGAAATGGAATTGTGAAATTAACATTTGTTTATACCATAATTTGGCCCAAACAAAAACGTTGCCATCAAAAGACAATCAATCTATAATCTTGATAGTGTATTTTCTACCTAACTCAAATTCTTTAGTGCAATGACTGATACAGCCATCAGTAACAACAGACTGTCACTTGTAACCTATGCAGATAGATAAGATTATCATAATTCTTCTATTTATGATTTTTTTTCATGGTAAGACTAGTACTTTAAAAAATTATTAGAATATAGTTGATATATTAATACAATGTTGTGTTAGTTTCAGGTGTATGAAGTGAAAGTCGGTCAGTCATGTCCGATGCTTTGAGATCCCATGGACTGTATCCATGGAATTTTCCAGGCCAGAATACTGGAGTGGGTAGCCTTTCCCTTCTCCAGGGGATCTTCCTGACCCAGGAATTGAACTGAGGTCTCCTGCATTGCAGGCAGATTCTTTACCAACTGAGCTATTAGGGAAGCCCCTAGTTTCAGGTGTATAGCAAAGTGAATCAGTTATGCATTTAT